CTATTGGTAGACTATAAAGGGAAATAAGTAATTTTGACTCGCTCACTAGTTATATGTAATATACACAAAAAACCGTAACACCCCCCTTATTTTGGGTATATTATGGAATCTTCCTTCAAAATGTTAGTAAAATCGATAAATACTTTAATTCCAAAAATTATATATATATATTTTTCTTTCTTTTTCTTTTTTTTTTAAAAGTTAATATTAATATGTAACAAATACTTTAGTATTCCAAATTTTTATTTTTTTTTATATATATTATTTTTATTTTTCTTGAAAATTAATATCCACAAAAATTAGTCATATCACTTTGTTCACAGTTAAGTACTTCGGGTTAATAAAACATGAATAACAATATTATAAGTTTAGATTGCGATCACAACAAAAAATGGAAAGAATTGTTACTTTACCCATAGCTGGGACCCATTAAAACAGTTACTATCACTCCGGGTCAGAGTGATCCAGAGAATCATTTAGAAGAGGATTGGGCTCAAAGTAGGACCATTTACATTTATACCCCAAAACTAAGGACTTACATTCATACCAAAAACTGAACTGACGTTTCTTAGAACAGTAACTAATGGATGCAGTTTTACGTCCTACCCAGGACCTAATAAGGACTTAATGGATGCAGTTTTACGTCTTGCCCAGGACCTAATAAGGGCCTTAATGGATGCAGTTTTACGTCTTGCCCAGGACCAATAAGGACCCAAAAAGTCAGCACTAAATATTGCAGAAGCAAAAAGCCCGTAGTTTCAATTTCGTAATCGGTTTTTACAAATAAATCCGCCATATTATTTCCCGATTGAACATATTCAGTTTGTACTGTTTTCATTTCTACTTGGTCCTTAACAAACTGATATTTTATATTGATATGTTTTTGATTTTTGATGTAATATTGAATTTCTAGCCAAAGCAATACTGCCCTGATCGCCGAGTAAATAATTATCGGTTCAGTAATTGCTTTTATTAGCAATTTAAGAAAAATAACCTCTTGTGTTCCTTTTCACAATGCAATACATTCAGCTTCACAAGTAAAAAGTGGAATCTTTCGCTGTTTCTTAATTCTTGCTGATTATTGGGTTACCATCTGCTAGCTTAAAGCAATAGCCTGTTATACTCTTACGGTCTGGTGAATTGGCTCAATCAGCATCACAAAATCCTTCCAATTTTAATAGTTTATTGGATTGTCAAAATATTAGGCATCGACTGTTAGTCCACTTCAGATAACATAATACTTGCTTAAAAATTGTTAAATGTACAGTCCCCGGTTTATTTAAGTTTTGGGACAATTTAGTAACCGTATAGCAGATATCTTGCCTAGTTTATATCATCATGCAAATAAGACTTCCGACCAATGTTCTGTATTCATTTTCAGACTCCGCTATACCATCTTCCTTATTCATAATTATATTTCAATCCATTTTACATGGAATAATTCTTATTTTATAATTTTGCATGTTAAATTTCGATAAAAGCCTTTCCAATTATCTCGATTAATTCATTGAAATAGTGTTGCCTTTTAAATTTTTACTGTATACCAAGAAAAACATGATAGTCGACCCAAATTGGTAATTTTAAAACTCATTTCTAAAGAACTTTTGATTTTTAATAGAGCGGCCTCACTCTTTGATGCAATTAACATATTTTCGACCCAAATAACCAGAATTACTAATATTTCATTATAAAATGTCTTCGTGTACAGACATGGGTCAACTTGGGGAGATTGAAATTATTCTCATTAAATAACAATGGATTTAAATTATTCCATGTTTTTCCACTCATTTTGAGTCCAAATAGTGACTTTTTTTTTAAGTTTCCATACATAATTGTCACCTTTCTTCAAAACCTTCTGGTGGTTCCATATATATTTTATAGTCGATGGTAGCATTCAGAAATAAGCTCTTTTAACATCCATATGGTGTAAATCCTTACCATAATGGGCATCCATTTGCATCAAAACTCTAATTAAGACTTAATATTTCTACATAAGTCCTCTCCCCCTCTCTTATAATCTACTCCATATATCTATGGAAATCCGTTAGCTACAAAAACGAGCCTTGTAGACTGGCGATCCATCCTCAGTTCGCTTTACAATGTAAACTCAACGGCTGCCGATGATATTTCTATCATCAATTAAGACTTAATGTTTCTACATAAGTCTCCCCCCCTTATATCTATGAAAATACGTTAGCTATAAAACGAGCATCGCACACTGGCGATCCATTCTCAGTTCGCTTTACAGTGTAAACCCAACCTCATTATTAAAGACGAACCACTGTCGTTCAGGAATTGTATTAATTCAGCGAACACGGTCGCATTTTTTTTTAAATCATCATGCCCCCCTCCTGGTCGACTTTACAAAGGATTATGTCATGGAGTTATTATATTTTGAGGCAGCCTAAAAACTTCCTCTGCCATAATTTATATCTCGATTCATTCCCGTCAAAATAAATCGTGATCTGGGCTCATAACCTATGTTAGACATTTTCATGACGGTCGTCCTCGAGTATAGAATCCAGAGGTTGGCAGTGAATATTTCAGAGACAGTAGGAAAGCGTAGTGCAGGTTCGCAGTGGATATCGCAGCAAGGTAGCAGAGCGTAGTTCTTCCGTCTGTCATGTTCGCCGGACAAGTTGCCTCTGGTCATTCCGGTAGGAGAAACAAAGATGGACGCCTTTATACACGACGGATACAGTGTTGTGCGGCTTCTGATTGGTCAACCTTCTATTGGTAGACTATAAAGGGAAATAAGTAATTTTGACTCGCTCACTAGTTATATGTAATATACACAAAAAACCGTAACAGTGGTTACAGAGAGTGAAGGTAAGAGACAAATTGAGTATGGGGGGCGTGTAAATGATAAAAGCTGAACGGGGTTCAAGAAGATAGTGATTGACGTTGCATTTAAATCTTTGAAGAGTATAGTTATCAGGGAAGCAAGGAGACGAAACTCCCACAGGCGGGAAGTGCGAGAAAAGAAACTGTTGGAGTAGAAGTGGCGGTTACATTTAACTAATTCAACAGTAAAAGGGATGCCATTCTAGTAGCACACTTAAACTCACGTAATGCGGGTACCAGGGAAAAAGTTTATCAGAGCAGTTGTCATGAAAATATTCGTAGAAAAGACAGAGAAGCCATGTCAAGTCGATGAGAAAGTGACTGAAGACGAGATGACAAGTCAGGATCGATTACTTTGCATATCCTTTGGATTTTGTCAAGAAACCCGAGATGAGTAGCAGGAGTACCAGACCACATTTGTATTCAATGCACGGACGAATGGTAGATTTGTAAATGTGTAAGATGGACTCTGCCAAGAAAAACCTTCTGGCACGACACAGTGACCCAAATTTCCTTGCAGTAGATGCAGCTATTGATTTGATGTAGTTGTTCCACTTCAAGTCAGTTGAAAACGTGAGGCAAATTGTTGCTCTCTATGGGTCTAGCACCAGTCATGCTAATGGCTGACAGGAAGGATTCTCTATGGTGGCTAAATGAGAGCAGTTTCGTTTTGGAGGCATTAAAACTTATGAGCCATTTCCTGCCCCAGTTAACTACAGACTGGATGTCCTTTTCAAGAGCAGTGGACAGGTTACAGCTCTGATTTGTTATTGAGACAGTAGTAAATGGTAGTGTCATCAGCATAAATGGCTACTTGGGAACTGATGACATCAGGAAGATCATTGACGAAGATCAGAAACAGCGTAGGATCAAGGATAGACTCTTGGGAGACACCAGCGTTCGTGTGAAAGGATCTGGAAGTGAGCCTGTTCAAAACGACCTTCAGTTCACTATTTGATAGGAACGATTGGATTAAATCAAACAATCGTCCAGTAATACCGTAGCCCTGGAGCTTACATTGATGACCAGCGTGCCAAACCTTTCGAGATATCTAGAGCCACAGCTCGTGCTTTACCATTATTATCAAGAGCTTGATATACATATTCAGTGAGCACATCAGCGGTAAACCTGGCAAAACGGAAGCCATATTGTTCGTCAGAGAGAAGGTCGTGAGAGGATTAACTACTTCAGCATTGATTAAAGCCTCGAATACTTTGTCGAAAAGCGGTAGAAGACTAATACGGCAATAGTTAGAGCGGTCAGAAGCTTTTCCAGACTTCTTAAAAACAGGAACTACAGAGGACTTCCAACAAGCTGTAAAGCAGGAAACAGCGAGACAATTGTTGTAGAGTTTGGAGAGAAATGGAACCAGCTCGGGAGCACATTTCTTTAAGACGATGGCTGGGATCCTGTCACCGCCTCTTGCCTTATGGGAGTCTAATTTAGAAATGATATCTGAGACCACTGACGGGTTTATGAGCATATCACTTTGTAGAACCTCTGTCCTATTGGGGAAATCAAGTGTGGGTACTCCAAATGAATCGAGTGTTGAGTTGGAAGAGAATCTCCAAGCAACGCATTCAACCCTATCAGCTGTAGATGTTAGATTGATTGAATAGGGAAGGGATTAAGGTTTTTCTGTTGTTCAGCACACACTTTCAGAGTCGCCAATAATCTCTAGAACCAAACTTGCGTGATTCTATATGTTGGTTCATTCTATCAGCAAACAGCAACTTCGCTTCTTTGAGAAGACGCTTGCACTCATTATGAGCAGAGACAAAGAGACGTCTGTTGCAATCAGACGTGTCGCACTGGGAGAACCAGAAGAAGTGATTCCTGTCTTGATTGGCGCTATTTAACTTAGTATTTCCTTACTGGAATGAAAGCATCATTGCTGGCTTTCACCCAGGAGGAGACCTCAGACGCGCATTTTTGAACAAGAACAAAAACTTCATTCCAAGAGACTTTTGTTGTTTCCTTTACTTTTCTTTATATTATTTCCTTTGTCGCAACCGTGACACTTCGGTGATCGAACGGGAACTGGTGCTTCAGTATTGCAATAATCAGCTAAATAAATGAAAGTGATTGGCTTTTAAAACAAACAAATGAACAATGAACGAATTGTGGCAATAATTTTTAAATTTTTATTAGAAGACATGTGAAAGCAAAAAGTTCGATAAAGAAAGTAAAAAAGATACGACAGTTGCGAACAGACCAACTTATGACAGAATATTTTATTTGAAGAAAGAAAGACGCAATAACAAAACGACAAATAAAAAAAAACGAAAAAAAAAGATGAACATACATTTTTCATATAATCAAAATGATTTTCATTCCAAAATTTAAAAATTGGATGTGTAACGGAAAACGGCACACGTCACAAAACGTAGAACTGGCGAGCTAGTTTGTTATAATTACATTTGCGCAAATGCCCTTAAGAAAGACATAAATCAGTTTCTTCCTAGCTATCAGCTAAATATCAGGGTGGCAACCAGTTTCAGAGAAGGAAAACTGCGAATTGCAAAATGTGGAGAAGGCAGCAGGAATCCACTCCGCTATCTTTCCCAAACAGAAATTCCCAGTCATAAAAATTAACAGATAATAAAGAAACCTAGTATGTGGAAAGCCAAAATTTCCCTCCGTCCTGAAGGCAAATGGCATTAAAAAAAAAAAAAAAAAAAAAAACGTCGTCAGTATGTAGAATGCAACGAGAACCCATTCCACTATCTTTGCCAGTAAGACATAGAAATTCACAGATAATAAAAAAAAACTCGAGTCTGTGGAAAACCAAGATCGCTTAAGCCCCGAAAGCACATGACATTAAAAAAATCTAGTCAGTGTAGAGAAAACAATGAAAACCCACTCCACTATCTTTCCCAATAAAGTATGGCCGTATAAAGATCTATCTCACACGAAAGACCCATTAAGAGCATTAAACACCAGACAGAAAGTTTTCCGCTTTAAGCCATGCATACATGTGGTGATTTTCTAAGAGTAGCTTAGATGTAGAACAAGGCCCAAAATATGGGACACCCACTAAGGATCAAATTCACTATTCTGACGTAATTGATCTAGCGAGACAAGCTTAAGCCATGCATATATAGGACTTACAAATATTCCTTAGTCGGGTCAGAAGTGCACAAAGAGGAGTCAATAATCAAGATCTTTTTTACTTTTTTTAAATGGATGAAGAAAGTTTTGTTCCTATGTATGAGGAAATATAGTTTAAATGGTTTTCTGATGAAGATTTAAGTGAAACATATTATATTGATAAACATTTTTTTTCTTTATCTTATTATCTATCGAATTCCCATCCCTATTTGATCTATATTCGATCTCAACCCATTATATATATATATATATATATATATATATATATATATATATATATATATATATATATATATATATATATATAAAGGGTGTTCAATAACCTGGACCGATTTTAAATGTGCATTAAATTCATAAATGGTCCAAGTTATTGGAACACCCTATGTATATACATTTTTTTCATCTGTTCATCTTTTTCCATAATTATTATATCATTCTCTTTGATATATCTTTTTACACCGGCCTTCATTTTTCATCAATTCTTTTTCTTTTTTCATCTGTTCATCTTTTTCCATCATCACTATATCATTCTCTTCGATACATCTTTTTTCACCAATCCTTGTTCTTTTTTCATCTTTTTCCATCACCACGATATCAATCTCTTTGATACATCTTTTTACACCGGCCTTCATTTTTCACCAATCCTTTTTCTTTTATCATCTGTTCATCTTTTTCCATCGCCACTATATCATTCTCTTCGACGCATCTTTTTATACCGGCCTTCTTTTTTTACCAACCCTTGTACATTTTTCATCTTTATCCATCACCACTATATCATTCTCTTCGATATATCCTTTTACACCAGCCTTCTTTGTTCACCAATCCTTTTTTTTTTCTCATCATTTTCCATCACCATTATATCATTCTCTTCGACTCATCTTTTTACACCGGCCTTCTTTTTTCACTAATCCTTTTTCTTTTTTTTATATGTTCATCTTTTTCCATCACAACCATATCATTCTCTTTGATACATCTTTTTTCACCGGTCTTCTTTTTTCCTCAACTCTCGTTCTTTTTTCATCAGTTCATTTTTCTCTCACCCACACTACATCTTTCCTTCATCATAACATCTTTTTTTTTTTGTCTATATGTCTGTATACAATGAAATTTTCAGATCGCGTAAAGGTAATATCTGCCATCCTTTGATATATATATATATATATATATATATATTTCAATCACCCCTATATAAAAACAATATTGGGTATGAATTCTTGTGCTTTGTTGGGGAGATTGCATCTTCAACACTAATTAAAATAAATTAGAATCTCATATTAGTCCTACAACGACTACAATCTTTTGTTGGTTAACATGTCTGTTCACAAAACTTAGCACAGTTCGTACTCACGTCGATCAACATATCACTCAAGGCCACAATAGTAGGCGCCCGTTTATCTCACGAGATAAAGGTAGCACCTTGTTTGGCCAAAATTCAGTACTTTGGTTAGGAAACTGGAGTGACCTCTAAAGGAATACAGGGCATTACATTTGCTACCGACTATGCTGCAGGAGTTGCCGGAAGGTTGTCAATGTTGACAGCCAACCGCCTTTGGGGCTCCGAAAACCACAATATAACCATTAATAATAGGCAATTGCTAATAGATAATACTGAAATATCACATAGCACTAATCGTAAAAAAAGACTCAGAATGCATGGAACATATTCTGCGTCTAATATAAACATTAAGCGGTATAAAATTTAATTTCTCGAAATTTCATAAAATTAAATTAAGTGATGGGTGACAAATATAAAAAATATGTTTTTATCAAGATTTCTTAAAAAAACATCAGTTCTAAAATAATTTAATTAATTTGTGAATAAGCCATGAAAGTTCCATTAAAATCTAACAGTTATTTAATTTTTGCAAGAATTTCCAAACCAATGTTCTTTTCACCGCAAAAAAAAAATACACTAAAATTTCCTATACTAACCTTTGGCGCAAGAAAAGCATGATTTTTAATCAAAATTTCGAAAGTTTTAAAAAGGATCAAAAATATAAGTTAATAATCTCTCTCTCTCTCCCCCATCTCTCTCTCTCTCTCTCTCTCTCTCTCTCTCTATATATATATATATATATATATATATATATATATATATAAGATAAGAAGGAATGGAATATAATTCCACTGCCCGTAGCATTTAATTTTAAAAAATGGTTCAACAGAAAGTAGAGCTTAATATTATTTATTATAGGAGATTAAAAGAAAAACATGTTAAAAATCGTTACACAATAGCTTTCATGATTCGGAACGAAGCTGTGCCTCTTCAGGCAATGGTAAATGACTGCTGAGTAAATGATTATTTTTAATTTCAAAAGCAGAATACCACCTCTTTTCTTGAAAGAGAAGAGAGGACGAGAAAACAAGACCAGGCTTGTGGGTTTATCCTGATTAAGCAATTAGGTGTCAAACCTACGCTAAATTCAAAGTTAACCTAAAAACAGGAAATTTAGATTTTGGCATAATGTATCCTGAAATAGAATCCTAGACAAGGTCATTAGTAACAGACATGAAAGCTATAAAGGAGGGGTAACAATTGTATCATAATTCCTGACAAATATGAGTTGTTCAATTTTCCATAAGAAGCTAAGGGGGTGGGGATTAGAAGATAACCAGACGTATAGCTAGTTGTAACAATAGATATTGTTGTCGATAATTAAAAGACTTCTTAAGAAACCAGGGAAATATGAAAGCTATTGTGTAGCGATTTTTAACTTTTTTGTTTTAATATCCTCTCTCTCTCTATATATATATATATATTTATATAAATATAAATATAAAAGTGAACATAGAAGTCAACACTTAGGGCGACAGTCTGTTTCATGCTAGACGCAATCGGTGGCCTGACGATTGCATATAGCATGAAACAGACTGTCGCCTCTAAGTGTTGACTTCTATGTTCACTTTTATATTTACACACGCTCTTCTCTGATATTGAGCACTTTATCCCATAAATATAGCACATCTTAAGACTATATTTCTTCATATATATATATATATATATATATATATATATATATATATATAAACAAAGTTTTTTACTTGCTATCTTTAACAAATTTTTGTTAATGATATCAGACATAACTTTGTATTTTTAATAAATTTTTTTATTTTTGATAAAATAATTTCCGTGCTAATAGGAATATGGAATGGACAAACACGGTGGATAAATAGTAACAGGTTTAAGGTAGAAACCAGTACAACAAGCAAGGAAGTAATAGTTATGCGCACGGTCGTCGCAAGTCAGTAGAGTTGTGTGCGTGCTGTTATCGGAAGGCCAGTAGTCGTCTCGCAGATCCCAGCTCGACGCTATATAGTAACTGCCCCACGCAGTCACATGTGGCACAAGGCCGAATTTAAAGTGGTGTTCCCGAGCCCGGAGGCTCGGCCAAAAAATCCCCGTAGACCCCGCATAAACGGGATCGGGTCTGTCTACCACCCCGGATGAAACTGTCTAGCCTCGTCCGGGTTCCTTTCTGTCCGAAGGCAGAGGGTTCGACTAGCGCAGCTGGGAATGATCCCAGCTCGACGCTATTTAGTAACTGCCTCACGCAGTCACATGTGGCACAAAGCCGAATTTAAAGTGGGGTTCCCGAGCCCGGAGGCTCGGCCAAAAATTCCCGTAGACCCCGCATAAACGGGATCGGTCTGTCTACCTCCCCGGACGAAATTCTGCCCTTCGGCATAGCCTCGTCCGGGTTCCTCTCTGCCCGAAGGTAGAGAGTTCGACTAGCGCAGCTGCGAAAGATCCCAGCTCGACTCTCCTGTCCGCTGTCTTAACGGATACTTATAGGTGGTTACCACCTATAGTGCCCCCACTCATGGGGGTGGCAAGTTTTCCATTACATCACATATATTGGTGTTAAAATCGTAGCGTATCAGTTCATGATAGTTCTGTTTTTAAGTCTCGAGCTTTCAAGTGGATTCAGTCATTATTATAAAAGAAAATAAAAACAAATTCCAAGTCCGTTGAGTGTTTGCTTTTTTGTGTTGATTTGGTATTTTAAATTTTGAGTGTTTATCATGGCACGTGAACGTGATGTTCTTTTTGGTTTTTAAAACTTTGTGGCCTTGTCTTAACGAGACGTAATGTAAACTCTGTGTATTTAATTACAATTTAGAATATCTATTCCCGAATCATGATTGATTTTGTTGATTATTGGTTATTTTGATTTCATATGTATAGCTTCTCAAAT